TAGTCCTATTGTATTCTGTGACTATTGTATTGTGATTTGTTAATTAAAGTAAATACTAAGAATATATGTGGAGTGAAGCAGGGTAGCCATGCTCAGCCTGCGGGGGGGGGAGCATTATGGACATCGGTAGTCATCAGGTGACCCGTCGATTTGTTAGCCCCTATACTATAAAATATCCTGTACTTTTAAAACTCGTGATTACGTGTTTACGATTTACGATGGCGTAGTGGTTTTAGCGGTCACCTCGCCGCTTCTACTACACTGAGTGTTCGATCCCCAAATAGGACAACACTTTATGTGATCCACAAATTGTTTTTCCGCGTCTGGGTGTTATGGTGTCCGTTTCATGTATGTGTGTAAAGACCCCCACGACGCAGGATATGTTCCTAGTGCGAGAGTTTAAAAAGAAAATATATGAAAAAAATATAAACAAAGGACAATACGTTTTCGATGGAAAAAATTTAGAGTTGACTTTACTATACTAAATAACTACATGAAATATTCTTAAGCTATTTATTTTCCTATGTAAATACAATGAATCATAATTATGTATGTTTTACCTACTAATAAAAGAAGTAACACTCTTCATTTTCATATTTTTGCATATATTATCCGTATTCTTTTCATATGTATGCAAATATTTGCATTCACACCAAAGTCTACTTTTCGCGTAAACATTTAAGTCCGTTTTACTTTGGCCAGTTAAATACCATACGCCTCTGTGATTCAATATCACAGGACAGAAAAGAATTACACAGGATAGGATAGGATAAAAATCAGAATTCCATTTTCTTTATAAATTACAACTAATTTCCATTAAAAGTAAACCTATTTCTTAAAAAAAAATTCTTTAAAGTCTGCAAATCATAAAAATCTTAGTACTTCTATATTCAGCATCGTGTTTTTTCTTAATAAAATACTTAATAAATCTTGGCTGCTGATCCAAATGATCAGAAGTCAGGCTTGTAAAATAAATAAAATAAATAAAATAATAAATCAGTTTTATGTTCGAAACTCTGAAACTGCGCTAATCAAAAAAGAAATAATGTACCAAGATAAACTCCTCAATATAAGGATCTAATAATTTGAGTTCAGTCCCCTGGCTGGCTTGATGGTTTAATGGTCATTCATCTTGACTGCTAAGCCTGACTACCCAGGGCAAACAATTGTGTGATGAGCACGATCATTTGTTCTGTATCTGTGTGTAATTTATCTATATTATGTATGTAATTAAAAACATATAAGTATGTTAATCAGTAGATTGATTACCATTGCACATACTTTACCTAGTTTGACATCAGAAGGCCGTGTGCGAGATGTGTCATGTAAATATTATTCTAATTAACTGTACTAACTCAACGAAATAAACGACTGTTTTATAAGTGTTAATACGTCTTTATAACACAATTTACGCACACATGTCAGTGTGGTGACAGATTAAGAATACAGAGTGTCACCACTCTATTTCATCCCGTGGGTATCGTAAGAGCCGACTAAGGGTGCAAACTAAGCAGGACAACAGCACTGCGAAGAGAAGGAAAACTTGACACAAACCCTATACCAACCCATCTGGCCAGCGTGGTATAGTAGGCCAAAACCTCCTTTCTAAGGAGAGGCCTATGTCCAGCTATGTCCATCAGTGGACTACTAAAGGCTTTTGATATGAAATGACCTGAGTCATCTGATGGTAAGTTAATACCGCCGCCGATGTAATAGTGTTAAGAAAACCGCCGACCTTTGGGGTAATTCTGTACAAATAACTAAATCAATTATTAGCGTAGTTGCATCAGAGTTGGCCTTAATTTTCAATAGGTGCATTGAATGTGGTGTATTTCCTGATTTGATGAAACATAGTAAGATCATTCCCTTATTCAAGGCGGGTAGCACGTCTGATCCTACAAATTATAGACCAATTTCAGTGTTGCCTACTTTCAGTAAAATTTTTGAGAAGATTATACTGGATCAGCTACAAACTCACTTTAGTGCAAGCAAAATTCTACACAGGAAACAGTTTGGATTCAGAAGAGGTCGCTCGACAAGTGATGCCGGTGTTGAACTTTTGGAAAATATATTTAGTGCCTGGGAGGATAAACAGGATGCCCTGGGTGTTTTTTGTGATTTATCTAAAGCATTCGACTGCGTTTTTCATGAAACATTAATCAGGAAATTGCATTACTATGGAATTAGGAACACTGCTTTGGATCTTCTTATCTCTTATTTGGGTAATAGGATCCAGAGAGTGGAAGTTAATGGACAGAGATCCCTGGGGTCTCTGGTCACTATGGGGGTTCCGCAGGGCTCAATTCTCGGCCCATTTTTATTTCTTGTTTACATAAATGACCTACCTAATGTGATAAATGATAATCAGGAGATAGTGCTATTTCGGATGACACTTCACTGTTATTTAAACTTAAACGACAGCAATCAGTAACTGATGACGTGAATAGCACTCTCTCTAAGGTTGTGAACTGGTTTAATGTTAATAATTTACTTTTAAACGAGAATAAAACGAAATGTATTAGATTTTTTACACCTAATGTTAAGCAGGTAAAGACCAATGTTCTAATAAATGGAAAGGAGTTGGATCTTGTGGACACCACCAAGTTTTTAGGTATAACACTAGACTCTAAATTGCTATGGGGCCCACACATTGACGGATTGTCGAATAGACTCAGCTCTGCAGCATAAGCGGTTTACAAAATTCGTCAATTAACCGATGTAGAAACAGCTAGACTGGTGTATTTTAGCTATTTTCATAGTGTAATGTCATACGGTATTTTGTTGTGGGGAAATGCTGCTGACATTCAAAGTATCTTTGTGTTGCAAAAGAGAGCTATTCGTGCAATTTATAATCTCAGTTATAGGCAGTCACTGAGGGATAAGTTTAAAGAAATTGGTATCATGACAGTCGCATCTCAATATATATATATGAAAATTTAGTGTATGTAAAGAAAAATAATCATTTATTCACAAAGTTTAGCGACATGCATAAAATAAACACTAGAAATAAAGATAAACTCGTGTTACCAACCACTAGGCTACAAAAAGTAAGCCAGTCTTTTCGTTGTCAGGGTGTGCGATTTTACAATAAAGTGCCAAGCAAATTCCATGAATTAAGTATTAATAAATTTACTTTGAACTGTATAGTATTTTTTTTTATTTTTTGTGTAAGTATGTAAATGTGAGTACAGTGTAGGCTTGTAATGTTAATTCATATTTTATTTTCTTTCTGGTGGTTTTGAGTGTTTCCACGGCCTACCCAAATGTCCTGCTGGCGGTAGTGTCATGCTTCGGGTCGTTGATCTTGACCAATATCGGTTAGGCTACACGATGGCTGGAGCCTGTATGCCGTCTGTATGGACAGGTTGACTCAAAACTATGGTCCTTTCCTCAAAAGGCCTATCCAGACCCTATACTGTACTCGCACAGTTTTATTTAACTTTGTTTACGGACTTAAAAAAAAAAGACACCTCTGTGGTTTGTTTCGGCGTTTCTTCCCAGAGTGAGTCTTAAGAAATGCCGGCTCCTTCTAGCTATAAAGTCCGACTTGTAAAAATATCTGAAAAGATTTACTTACAGAAATAAATATCATTTCATTTCATTTCATATGGGCGGTTGATGTTGGAAAGTTGTATATATGCTAATCCGCGTGAGAATTCTTCATATTGCGATAAAGAATTAGTAGTTACTCCGTAGTTCAGTGTGTCTTTAGCTTTAGCGTTGTAGTAGGTTTCTTTGTTTTATTTGGAAGTCGCCACATATAGTATTTTTTGGTAAAGACAGTTGATATGATATGACCTGATAAATCTGATAATAAGTTATTAGCGCCGCCCATGGGCGCCTACAGCTTAAGGGCGACTAGCCCTTAAGCTGTAGGCGCCTTTGTCCCTATTTTGCCCTTTGAGTACACAAGAATTAGGAGAGAAGAGGATTGGAAATCTCTGGTCTAACTCACTCGATAAAGAGCATCGAAAGAATTGTATAACACCGGTTTTGCTCTACGGCCGTGGTTTCACTTCAGTCTATCATTATGATGTATTTAGATATTATTTAATGACTATGACTGAGATTAATGGTGCGTGTACCGTGACATTCCTTTATCAGCGGTCAGCCGGTGAGAAAGAGGAAGTGTCTGCTGGTTGAGTTAATCTATATATATAAAATTACTTGCCCTCACTGACTCGTTCATCAACGCAAAGCCTAAATCGCTGGGGCGACAAACTTTTAATTTTGGCAACTCACGCTCTTTATGTTGCACCTACTAAGAAAGGATTTTTGGAATTTTAATACTTAAGGGGGAAAATTAGGAATGATCAGCTTTTCGGAAGGCACCGACTTCAAATAGACTAGAAGGATACAAGTAAGTTCTACTATTAGTTAGATTTGTAATTTTCTTTTCATTTTTAGTGCTCTTTGTTAAGTCCTATTTTTTAAGTCGCTTTGACTTTTTTTTAAAGGACTTATTTTAGTTCAAGATATGTTTATAATAAGTAGATAAGTATGATATTTAAAACATTACATATTGTAATATATAGTACTAAACTGTGGTATGTTGGATTATATTAAATACAGTTTAATAAATGCGTTACTTTATTTAGATAGTGTAGTAAGATGTTACATTTGAACCCGAAAATATATTGTGTTCCACATTACTTTGTTTTCCAAAACTAGAAGTGGTATTTTCTCTTCACATTTGAATGAAACTAGAGGGGTAATACCTATATGTGTTTTATTTTGTCAGCTTTGAATATCGTTGTGTAGTAAGATAATTATATTAAATTGTATGTTTAAATGGAATTTTCATATTACAAAATGGTTGGTACAATTTATGCTTATTTATAAACTTCCTGCTATTTTCTTTTCCAGTGAAAATGACATCAGTTGTTTACTACCGTCTCTTCGGTCAGGCAGTCGTCCTGACCATGCACAGTGTAAACGCTCTGGTGATGTTCATCTCAATGCGGGATAAGGAGCTGATGAGTGACCCTCAGATCAACACCATGGTTTCGATGCAGGGCAAATACCTTACTGTGTGGAATATTGTAAGTTTTTTTTTAAATGGCAACAACAGAAAAAATAACCTAAGTATTGTTATCTACGGTGTTTCGTTCCATTTTTACCCACGAAGGCACTGAGAAAGAATATGCGTTTAGGGTGAGAGATGTGTGTTTGTTTGGCTCTGAAATTATTTCTCTGAATTTCGAAGATAATCTTGCTGTCTTTAATAGTGAAGACTTTGACCATTTCATGGCTTTAATTATGGGAGAGCTATACTTCTGCACACCTCTTAATCTACACTCGGAGTGATACCATAGCCTCACAGAAAATCGATGCAATCCTGTCGTTGTCTTTCACCAAATGAATGAGGTCATCAATGTCCTACTCTCCCCCCTCTCCCCTCATTCTGGGAAAGACACTCGTAGGCCGACACATACTAGTGTGCGTACATGCAAGCTTCTCTGTGAGGCCGTATTATCGCTCCTTTCGAGCTTCCCATGACAGCAGTACATGAGAATGACTCTTTTCCTCCACAGCTGTACAGGTGTATACATGTTTTATGTTTTTTCAGGGATTCCAGCTGTCTTACTTCTTTTTAGCTTTCTTGTGTGATATATGTACGGTGTTAAGAAGAGAACACATGATACCCAATAAAATTAGGAAATTCAGACAGTTTTACTTCAGTACAGCAGTATGGCCAGTTGCTACGGTGAGTCTAACTTGTATTGTTTCCCCCCCCCTCTTGGAATAAATTCTGTGTTGCCGCGGACTTTACAAACATTCATGAAACGGTAACAAAGAACACCTGGGTGTCACACTCAGAACAACAATATGTGGATAACACAAAGCGTTGTCCCATGTGAGGATCGAACCCACAACAGCGCAGTATGACAACGAGGTGGCTTAAACCACTACGCCATCCGTGCAGTCACCTTTCGATTCTCTGGGTAACCACCAATTTCGTTGTCCAGTGGTTTGTAATTCTACCATAATTCATAAACTTATTGTTAACAATAAAGCACAGTTTGGGAAAGCTATATCTAAATCATTTCTAAAATATTTCAAAAAAATTAAAACTTTTTCAATTTTTTTCCAAACTCCTACATTTTCTCGCTGTTAATTTTTTCTAACTACATATTCCCTTTTTTTCTATATTGTTTTCAATTTTTTTATCACATCAACAGCCTTTAATAGTCCACTACTGGACATAGGTCTCTCCTTAGAAAGGAAGTTTTGGCCTACTATACCACGCTGGCCAGACGTATAGGGTTTGTGTCACCGTCACCACACCACACGGACATTTCATACTATTTTTTCACGAATTTTTACTATTTTCAAATTTATTTAAAATGTTCCGAATGTTTTTCTAACTGTTCCCTTTAGTGATAATGCCTACAAACCTTATTCAAAGCATCCAGCAGATAATAGAGCGGTACAACGTTTTGTCCCTGAGCGGATGGGAGCCAAATCGAAAAATGTGTAACAATACTTTTTTCCTACACTTCTTGCGGAACTTCGTTGTGACCGGAGATCCATAGACCCCTCACGCCCTTTTCTTTCACACATCTCACACGGCAATCTAATCTCAAGGCAGAGCCTGTATTATGATAACCAGATTGCTGATAAACATACTTATATGTTAAATACATACATATTATAGCTAAATTACACCCAGACACAGAACAAACAATCGTGGTCATCACACAAATATTTGTCCTGGGTCTGAATCGAAGCTACGACCTCCGGCTTAGCAGTAAGGGTCACTAACTACTAGACCAAAGGCCGTGATGTTTACCATCGCAAAAAGCAGCAACAGTAAGTGGGTTTTTTTTGTTGACGGGGTGGATCTCCGTCTCCTTGGGGATGTAGGACCCCGATGGCCGGACTCAGGCGCCCTACTCCGAGGAGGACCCGGACCATGTTATTTCAGGTCCCTCCGGATCGACGCCGCTCTTAGCCAGGCCCTATCCCGGGGAAAGAAGGCTTCCCCCGCCTATCAGCCAAGCCTTATAACATGTTGCGGCCCGATCGCTTTTTTGCGACCAGGCCGCCATCCTATCGCATCCCGCAGCAGTTAATCTGCCACCAGAGGTCCCCACTCTCTGGCAGCAGCAGCAGCAAGAGGGTCAAAGTTATAGTAGTCACATAGTCTGCCTACCCCTGCAGGATAATACAGGCGTGAACGTCTATATATACATGTAAAATATTAGCTTTTCTACTCCACAAGTGAGGACAAATGTGTAGTTAAAATATGGTTTTTGTAAGAATTAATAAATGGTTTTCAAAATAAAACTTAAGTTAAAATTTGTTTCTTATACATTTTAACATTGAAAGTTAAAAATTTACATTACAAAGCGTACGTCGGTCGCTCAGTTAGTTACACTAGATTGAAACTTAAAACAAATTTTAAATAATTTATCATGAAGCTGGTAGAGATGGCTGTTTACCTGATTGTAAGATAATATTATTGAATTATATTCGCTCGCTCGCTAATAAAAGGTAGTCTCTGGGCAGGTAATAGTAGTAGCTGTGCAGACGTGATCAAGTTCAACAAGTCTTAAATAAACTCGGTCTTGATATGCGAGGTCTCAGTCAGTCCTTCCCGACGCCAACCAAGCTGATCTGGTACAGGCTTGCACTTCACTATTCCTAATTCGTCCTTATGTTCAATATACTTTCCCTACTTCTACTATTAAAGGTTGTTGATGATGATGATGATGACTCCTATATATCCCGAGCTAAAGTCTACTCTCAAATTCTTTATCGTCAAAATGCGTGGTACATCAACAGTTTTTAACAGTTCACTTCTGGAGATGGGCGTCTCCTTAGAAAGGAGGTTATGGCCTACTATACCGCACTGGCCAGACGAGTTGGTATAGGGTTTGTTTCAAATTTTTCTTCTCTCTGCAGTGCTGGCCAGACTGGTTAATATAGGGTTTGTTTCAAGTTTCCCTTCTCTCTGTAGTGAAGCTATTGTCTTGCGTAGTCTGCTCCCTTAGTCCGACCCTTACGGCACTCACGGGATGAATAAGAGTGGTGGTTAGCGGCATTTGTATTTACAAATAACCATGTACCATTTGAGGATAAAGGCCTGAAATATTTATATTCTGTTACAGCTCATCTTCGTAGTCTTCTGGCCGTTCTTTTTCACAAATCGGGAACTTCTCTTTCCTGCCTTCATTGACAAGATATTCTCTTTAAAGTCAAACTTGGTGATGCATTTTTGTATCCTTCCTGCAGTACTGTGGGAGCTGGTCTTCACACCAAGACCTGTTCAGACGTCGCATGTTAAGCATATTGGAGCTTTAACATTCTTGTTTGTTTTATATAATATAGTGTGAGTAAATCAAATTGAATACATAAATTATTATAATAACACGTTTGATCCTGTAACACACGGCCGGCTGATCCTAATTTGGGCAAAGCTATGGTAACCAGACTGTTGATAAACATACTTATATATTTTTGAATACATACATATTTTGGTAAGTTATACCCAGACGCAGATCAAATGATCATGCTCATCACATAATTATTTGTCCTGGATGGGAATCGAACCCATAACCTCTGGCTTAGCAGTCAGGGTCACTAACCTCTAGACCAACAGGCCCATAATTGTAGCCAAAAACTTAGACTAGTATAAAGGCAAAATACTATGTAGTGAAAGACTTTTATTCTTCTAATTGGGTTATGTTAATTCGTTAAGTTTTTTTTCTAAACATTATTTCTTATTGTTTCAGTATTATTTACACTTATTCTCAACGTGGTATATGGCCCTACCCCATACTTAACATTCTCTATCCCACCATTTACTACCAGCTACTCCTAGTGACTCTCTACTTAATGGTTTTATGGTGTTACCAATTGCAATGGAGAATCACAAGCATGGTTTGGGACTCCGACCGACGGACTGTTAGGAAAAATAAAATTTAATGGAAAAAGTTTCGTTTCTGTTTCAAGACTTGGCCTTTTAAATTTAAACTGTAATATGTATGATTTCCAGATGTTCGAATTTCGACCATAATACACTGATACTATGGAACTTTAAGTTTTTTTAACACACACACACACATCTGCAACCGCTGGGTCTAGAAGCATGAAATTTTGCACAAATGTTCCTTAAGTGACGTGAGTGCATTAAATATTGGCTTTTTTTAAATTATACCCCTAAAGGTGCAAAATTGGAGTTAGAATATTATAGGAAACTTCATCATTTTTGGTAGTAGCGTTTTCAGGTGAGACCATCTCTCGCGGTGGTTCATTGAGGAACATAGCAGCTATGATACCTAGCATGGAAGCATGGTACCTGTGATATTAAATTGCGTAAAGGAAATTGAAACACAAATAGACACATACATACAGACAGATTAATATCTCTATGGTTTTTTTTATGGCAGAGGGTTCAAACGAGCAGACATGGTAACTGACTACCGTCATTCATGGACACCCTGTATCTCAAAAACTACAAGTACGTGAAGTGAGTAGTCACCCTTTGTGCATCCCCCAGAAATAGTGGCGGAGGCACTCAACGGGTAGCACCACACTTGTCACTCCGGAGTTGGGGGTGCCCATAGGCTGCGGTAGTCACTTAACATCAGGTAACCAGTCTACTTGTTTGCCCCCTATTTCATAAAAAGATATGTAGAGCTATAGGATGTTGTGGAAATAAAACAGACGCATTTGCAAGTGATTCGAGAATAATAATAAAAACAATAACATTTATTAACTATTGGTTCATAAAGATCACCATCTACGTTAGGTACATAGTACAATGTTTGTATTTGATTCAACCAACAAAGCTTACACGGGGAATCACCGGAGAATATATCTACGGGCTGAGTTTTTTTTAAGTAAAAAAAATGAGAAAAGAAATTTTATTTTATTTTTTTATTTAATTCTTCAATAATTCCCCGCATACAAAATATGTTTTTTTATTTTTATTTTAATATATTCTGTTTCTTTACATATATATATATATTATTATGATTTATATTTGTTACTCTCAATATATGTTTAGGTAATGTGTAAAAATACTTAATTATTTCATTAACAAATTAATATTTTAGATAATATAAATCATTTCATAGAAAAACAAGACATACAAAAATTTCATTATTTTATTTTTATTCATTTTTCACTATTTATAATGATCTTAGATACCCGTAAATTCGTAGGTACCTTTATACAAAATAGAAACTCTTAGAAAAAGAACAAAACGAATATGAAAAAAAAGAAGACTGACACTTGAAGACGTTATTCCCGCTATTATCAAGCTTGCTTTTTCCAAAATACATTTTTATTCCTATCCTTTACGTGTCCAAATCTATATTAGTTTTTTAGTGAAAATTTAGCAAAACATAGTACAAAAGTTTTAGAAATACCTACTAAAACTACCCAGCAAGTAAAACTTTTACCCTATATATCTATCACTATCGCACTGACACCCACGCTTGTGTGCGAAAGAGATGCAAGATGCGTCTCACTTCACTCTTCGATTTTGCACCAGTCAAGTCTAAGTTATGCACATTGCTATGGACACGGCTTCTTTTAAGGAGCTTACACACTTGCAAAGCTTAATAGTAGAGATAAAAAAAATAAAGGCATTAAAATCATGTTTCAATTATGGTTGCACTCATTTTACACATTTAATAACATATTTTCAACGTTTAATTGACGATGCATGCCTTCCTGTTCAATGATATCTGGTAAAAAAAACATTAACAAACTTTTACACGCACGTCACGTTAAATCTCAATAACAATATCATAAAAATTCGCTGTAAAGGGCAAATAATTATTACAATAAAACAAAGAATTATTAAAATAAAATAATACTAAACCCGCAAGTGTGTAACACTCTCAATGCATTTTTTTATTTCTTTTTTTTCAAAGTAAATTCGTGTTAATGGCCGGTCATAGTTGAAATTCGAATTCCAATTCGAAATTCGAACTTCAAAACTGAAAGTTGAATTCTACAACTGTTTGACGTACATATTTATTTTCCAGTTGTAAAATTGTTTTAAGCGGAGGAAATAGGTATTTTAGCCAATTTCTCAGTCTTAGTGCTCTAAAACGTTCTCATCGAATTTCGTCAATTACTAATTTTTACTTTTTAATTTATCCGTGGAAAATGTCCAATTGTAATTCTCACATATTTATTAATTGTTCAATCCAAAACATCAATATGAAATTTCTCGACATATTAACAACATAACTTATATAATAATATATTATTATTATTACTTACACTTCAAAGATACTAAAGAATATAATAATAATAAATGCAACATAAATGCATTTTTAATAATATTTTAGGTACAAGTAGATATATAGTTTAAAATGTTATATTTCATGAACAAATTGGACATTAACCATTTGAAGCTAAACATAATACTAAATAATCTAAACGTGTGCGCCTAGTTTTTTACATTTTTTTAATATTTTATAATTTTTGCAAAAAAAAAAAAAAATGAGTACACATTCTGGGAAACTGTATTGCATATACTAATAGTCGTGGAAATATTAAAAATTAATTATTTCTAAGTAAATTTCTGAGTTTTAATAAAATGATAATATATTATGATTTAAAAATTATTATTTGAACCACCCGTATATTTTTCAGCTATTACGATCTCACTATATGATTATTTCTAATTTATCAGTTATAAAAAAATATATAAATACGAGAAAAAAAGGAAAATAGGAACCAAAAAATAAAATAAAACAAAATCGGACAATAACAGATTGCTTTATTTAACAAAAAATATATAATATATAGAAATGAAAAAAACAATCTTTTTCACATGATCTAACAAGCGAGCTCGGAGGCCATATTGAAAAATTTGTTTCTTTTTTTATTTTAATTATATTTTAATAGAATGTAAAATTAAAGATAACCCATCGAACCTTATGATATTTAATATAAAATACATATGATTAATAACTATTTACAAAATACAAGTTAAGTTTTATACTTTCATTAACATTAATATAATCCAGTCTATAATAAAAGGCTATTCGACAAACTTAGCGTAATGTTAGAAAATTTATGGTTATTTAATAAATCTAATTATTAGTAGCAGGCAATTTAAATTAAATAAAAAAACAAATATACGTATAAAGTCGCGTCAAGCTAAGATTATAAAAAAATGTGTGTAAAAAATAAAAAATAAAAATAATTTACGTATCAACTGTGAAAATACAACAGGTATATTATGCAAAAATTGTGGATTTTGTTTTGTATATTTTCATTTTTTTGTTTTGTTTGTTTGTTATTATGCAAAATGTGACATAATCCCGAACATGGCACCCAAGCAAAGTAATGAAAAATGAGATCAAATTTATTCTACTCGAAAATAATTAAAAAAAAACAATAAAAATTGCCTGCTAAACATTACAATAATGATTTTTGTCCGCGATTTATTTCACACTCGATCGATTGAAGTTATGCATTTTGTTCAACTCTCGATTGCATTACGACTTATTATTAATATATTTTATTTAATTATGATTTGCATGTTTTCCTTCGCTTTGACTTCACCGTTATATATGTACTTCATTACTATATAAAACAACGGAAAAATACAAAAAATGGGCAGTATCGTCTTATATTACAACTTAAATCGAAAATCTACAGGAGAGAAAAAAAAACATTCATAATAATTAATAATCATTTGAAATAAATAACAAGTTTATAAGTTTAAAAAAACTGTTAAAATTAATAAAAAAAGGATCCTATTTAATAGTTTCGTTAAATTGAAACTTGTGTGATCTTCAACTTACTACACCTTTATAACTTTTTATTTATTTCTTAATAAAACCTCTATTCCTATTATTATATTTTTATATAATAATAATAATTATTATTTCTTCATTCAGAGTTAGATACACTTTACGATAATTATATTACGATATCCTCTATATACAATACACAATCAAACATACATACGTATGTATATGTATAATTATGTATTACATACACCACACACGTTTATATGTATTGTTACACTACATTATATATTTTTGTTATGAAAAATAAGTGTTCACAACAAATAAAAATAATATAATCTGAATAAATGTAAAATTAAACGCATTTAAATGTAACTAGAATCGAATTAAATAAACCATTTATATAATTTTAAATATTGTACGTACGTACTTATTAGTAAATATTGTAACAGTCGCTCTGTACATACATACAATTATAAATATATTAATAACAAATATTTAAATGCGTTTATTTTTACCGATATTGGGAGGAGGGAGGGGGGTTAAAAAAAATAGCTGTCAGAGCTAAAGAGTCTTTAAGAAAATTCTCAAAATGCCATATCTCCAGCTTTAGCAGGCAAAAATGAGATCTAACGCAATAGAAATAAGCCAGGTTCTAATTTCCTGGGCTTTAACCGTGCGTATAGTCCAGGACACTGTCCAGGGAGAACAGTTCTTTGTACAACGCTGGGAACACGTGGCTCTGGTGGGCCATCTTGAAACGGTGAAGCGCCTCTAGATGCATCAGCGATAGTTCTCTGTGAACATGTCAATATTAACACTTAGTATATTAGGAGTGTGGTAGTGGTGTGTACTTCTATGTAGACGGATTAAGAATACAGAGTGACACCACCCCTATTCATAGCGTGGGAATCGTAAGAGCTGATTAAGACTTGACACAAACCCTATACCCGTCGGGCCAGAATGGCATAGTAGGCCAAAACCTCCTTTCGAAGGCCTATTATATTACGGAAAAATTCTTAGACAGAATATAAAACAAGGTACGACTGAAAATCTGTAAAATAGCGAAAACACCCGATGAATGTCCATTAAAGAAATCATTGAATATCGGGCTTATTCCGATAATTCCTTTATGATAAAAGTAGTGAAAAAATTCATTAAATCTATTGGATTTTATCCTTGAGTAAGTTTAATTTTTATTAAACTAGCTGACCCGGCAAACGTATTGCAAAACAAAAAAAAATTAGGGATGGGTCACCCTTACCATTAGGGGTATGAAAAATAGATGTTGGCCGATTCTCAGACCTACCCGATGTGCACACAAATGAGAATCGGTCAAGCCGTTTCGGAGGAGTACGGGAACGAACATTGTGACACGAGAATTTTATATATAAGATTAAATTTATTTTGCTTACTATTTGACAAAACAGAGATTGTTCCTATTGTGTGTGTTGATCTATGACTTTAGAGTCTACATAAAAGGCGATTTTTTTAAATTTATGAAATAAAGAGAGTGAGTTTGAGTACGCTCTTCTCTTGAAGGTTGTATCGGTTCGGAAAATCCGTAGACCATAACCATATACGAATATTAATAACCATTCTAAACATATGAAAACCACAGGTATGTAGAATGGGAATATGAACTACGCAGGACAACAGCACTGCAAAGAGAGGGAAAACTTGACACAAACCCTATACCAACCCGTCTGGCCAGCATGGTATAGTAGGCCAAAACCTCCTTTCTAAGGAGAGGCCTATGTCCAGCGGTGGACTATTATAGGCTGTTCATGATGATGATGATGATGATGACAGATATGTTAAGATTTTATTTCATTTCTGCTGAAGATAGTCAAGCAGATACTAGTCAATACGTACCTGAAGGCGGGTATGTTGTTCACTAATGTTTGTAGCACAGTGACGTCACCTTTGAGTGGCGCGTGGTTCGCCTCGATCTCGAGGCGCATCGCCGCCATGGACATGTTGAACAGGCACTGGATCTCTGGGTTGCCTCGGACGCCGTGCCGTTCTACGTATACAACACAATTGTTTTTTTATTATTTAATGGTTTTTCTAATAATAATAATAGTTATTACGGACATCGAGACACAACGCCATCTAATTTCAAACTAAGCAAAGCTTGTACTGTGAAAGCTAGATTGACTGATAGAATACTTTGATGCTTTTTTGTAAATACATCCACATCATACATGTACAAATATTTGCAGATCATAGAAACATTTGGTCCGACCCGGGAATCGAACCCGAGACCCCAGCACAGCAAGTAATAATAGTAATGCAAGTTCTGTCTCATAATAAGCTACTTGTTGGTTGTGAGGAAGTGAATTCAAAGGGAATGCGGAACAAAGTAAACTTATGTGTAATTTTGCAAAATTGAAATTGGCTAATATAAAAAATACTGTAATTATGGCATAAAATTTCTTTATATTGCCTCAAAGTCTCATTTGCGTCTCCTGCATTTTTCCAATTAAGATTTTTTTATATTTAATTACAATGTTTTAAATTTTTTCAGTTTTTACTTTGCAGACAAGCAGACAGTTTGATAGATTTCATACATTTATGTATAGATTTTAACAGAATTGTGTGGTCGAATTTTCAAAATCGTTTTTAACAAACAGATGATGTTAGCTGTACATTATTTACGAGGTTTGCATTGCAACCCTATAATATGACCACGTCTTTTTGAAACATCTGTATTTATTAAAAAGCGACGCCACGAACCGCGAACAAAAATAGCAAAACTATTATATCGTGTATGGGTGTTGCACGACTTGACCCTACACAACATAAAAAAAAAGAAAATTTTGATGATATGAAGCCTCACCTGGCCACAACAGCACCAGACTCTGGTACAGAGCAAGTTCAGTCTCAGTCAACTTGAGCCGCGCAATCGTCTTCGCCGCATCGAATATGGCGGCTACCAGCGCAGCATCCCTGGGGTCGCTGCAATATAATACAACAAGACACTGTAGGAAAATGAACAACATATATTAACATTATTTTTCTGAAGAAATAAAAAATCTAATGTTTATTTGCTTTTATGACATTCTATATTTAAATGTCCTGTCAGTTTTTGTCTACTGACTACTTTACATATTCTATATTTAAATATCCTATCTAACTAATTTATTTGCTAGCAAAATTAAATTAATTAATTTAAATATAGAAGCGTAATCATTTTTACTATAAATTGTTCATTTAATTCGAAATAATTGTCATAAATGTATTTCTATATTCAAAATATATGAAATACAAATTATAAAGTACATACCGTGCATGCACGCACTCTCTTATAGGCAAAACAACATCGCCGTACAACACGTGGTCGCGGTTCACGTCGATAAGCCGCGAAAGCCTTACGATCGCCAGCTCAAACGAACCTATAGAAACGAAAAAATATTTACAAAACTGTAAGATCGAAGTTGGATGTCCAACTTGAAATAAAAATCATGTTGCTCGCCAATTTTAATAATGTGTGGCTTATGGTATTGTTTACTCTATAGTAAGTTGTAGAAAAAAAACACGTAATCATCTTTATACTATGGAGAAGATTGATTGATACATTAGTTAATTCACTAAAATGAATGCTATTTTGAAAAATATATCAAGGAATAAAGGCCAAAAATGACTAGCTTTTTACCAGTAATTAACCAGTTAATAATTATGATTGCACCGATATCCAGCAAGTGTCAATATATCAATTGCTTACCAGATTTCAGCAAGAGAATCTGATCATCCTGTGACAACTTCATGAAGCCAGGTATAAGTTTGGCGAACTCAATGATGTTCTGGATCATCGTCGTCAGTTTATCTGCACAGTCCATCCACATCTCTTCATAACTCATCGAGTTGTAGTACAACAGTCTGCAAATAAATGAAGTCGATTAATTCATTTAATTCTATTAAATTATTATTATAAATTAAATGATAAAAAAGGGTTTACATTTAATTCAATTGAAATATAATGAAATTAAATGAAAATAATGGGAAAAAATATTGAAAAGAAAACTGATACAAATTGAGAACGGGATGGAGTGAGATGGATTTAATATAAAGCGTGAACGGTTTTTGAGCAGTAGATGAAGGTACATGCTTTGTTTGAGTGTTCGATGATGATCTGAGAATGAAAGAAAAACACAAATGTAATAGACAACTGGGTGATATGATTCAATTTAAACATTTTAAATGTACCCATTTTGATAAAAAATATTTCTACTTATCATGCTCACTAGATGGCTCTTTAATCAAAATTTTGTAGTCCTTAACTTCGGCACATATAGACCATTGGGAGTGATACCACTTCACAGAAACCGGTATTAAGCAATTCCTTGTTTTTTCTTTTTTTTGCTTGAGTGAGGTTACAGGGCTCCCCCCCCCCCCCCTCTAATTATGGGTGGGTGGGGTTAAACTTGTCCCATGCACTTACCATCATGTGATCAGTCTACTCAAACGCAGCCAACATGCGCATTATACTAAACGGTAGGTCATTAAACAGGGTTTGACTTACTTCGACACATCCTGTGGTTTTCTGAACATCTCGTGTATGTACTCCAGTTTTGGGTTGGTGTTTGCGTGGGCTTCTGCCAGACTCTTTACAAGGACCTTGCTGATGTCGCCCTCCGCTGCAAAAAAACGAACTAGTTAAACCACGTATTACTAGATCTGGACTTGCTAGAGCTATAATCAAATTCTACACAAAAAGTAGTCAACACTTCTAAACAACAAATAAATAAAAATATAAGACAGGCAAGCTTAAATGTTTCTATTAAAAAAAAAAATACAATACAAATAAAAAAACGGCGTGTGGGTCTATGGACCCCCGGTTGAAACGAAGTTCCTTTCGCTTTTTGGTAGACATTTGTTATATATATGAAATACGAAAAAGAAATGTGACCGTCGATGCGCCAACTGAAATGTCTGCGAAAAGGCTTGTTACTCATTTTTCGGTCTCGCTCCCGTCCGCTCAGAGCGTGTAACACGATATAAGGAACTTCGTTAAAAAGTGGATACAATTTATTATCTATGCTATTATATATTATTCTCTATGCTATATGCTAAGATGACAGCGACTGTCACTTTGACATCGGGTCATTTTTTTATAACTTTGTATTTGTTTCTAAAGCACTTATTGTACAACAAATATATATTTGAGCTCGCATGATGCCGCGGACTGTGGTATTATGGCTATAGACCCATTAACACTAATATTTGCGGGTACAACCTGCCTAATGGCTTGTTGGCGTGAGTAAACATAACTCCTTTAATGACCTAATAGCTTATAACTTCACCGACTCCGTATAAATATCCTCAACAAAAGTACCATACAATATTACTATCGATATTTGTTTCGTATCGACTGACTTGCAACGGTTATGGCCACGGATGGACTATGACCACGTTCGGTGCATTACGGTCGAAGCCTTTAGGTATTTTTAGTAAAGTAATACTAATTCAATTCCCGAATACCGATTCAACTGTCGGTCACAATACGATATAATCACATTGGAGTCAACGTTGGATGTTTAATACTTTACTACAAGAATGCCTTTTATGACATTGTGAGATCGAGAATAGATCGAAACTCAATTTTGAAGGCCTTCTGAATTATATCTAACCCAAACCTGAATATGAGATAAATCTCTACCTACTATCTGCAGCTTGAGATAAATCTCTACCTGCTACCTGCAAAAATTCACAAAGTCTACAAGTTTATTACTGTGGTTTATACATATCGACTTCTTCTCCCCAGCATGCCTATTGCCGCTGTGCATTTCGACGGCCATAGTACCTTTCCCACTGGTTATTATAAAGTCGCAAAGTAATAATGCAAATTGTGAACCAGATGTGTTTTGTACTGACAACGTAAGTACTTATTTCCTATGAACTATAAGTAAATTTCTGAATGCCTGGTTGGGATTTTCTAAATCATTTTCTGTCTGTATATTTTGGAGCAAGGGTAGCGACGTGATCGCATCAAGACGCGATCGGGCCACAACGTAAAGAATGAGTCGTTTGGCAGGGGGAAACTTATTTGCCCAGGATAGGGCAAAATAGGCGCGGTGTCAATTCAGGGAAGAACTTGAAATCACATGGACCGGGTCTTCCGCAGTGTAGAACGTCTTCGGCCAGCCGTCAGGAAGATTTTTAGTGGAAAGAATTTTGTTTTACCACAGGCAGTCAAACAATTTTTATAAATACGTAATAAACTACGTGTTTTGAAAAAATAAACGGTCAGGTAGTAGTCGAACTCGTGCGCCGAGGGTTCCGTACCTACCCAGATTTTACGTAGATTTTCGCGAAAATTTGTAAGTACCAAAATTCATCTTAATGCCTTTATTTGTGATGTAAGACGTTTCTTTTTGCCAAATTTCGTAATTCTAGTTCAACGGGAACTACCATATAGGCTATATATATAGACCCAAAACCTATAGGGTACTTCTGGTTGACCTAGAATTGTCAATTTTGGTAAAAATCAAGTAAAATGAAAATTTTGAAAAATAAAAAAAATGAAAATTAAGGTAAATTTTGATACTTACAAATTTTCGCGAAAATCGAAAATTTGCCCATATCTTTTTATCCTGTTGACTCAGGACTTGATTTTTATACACCTAATAGGGACCTCAGTATCTGGTAAAAATAAACTTACTAGGTCTAAATCGGTGGTGACACACGGACAGACGGACAAGAAATCGATCTTATAACGGTTCCTTTTTTACCTTTTGAGATTCGGAACCCTAAAAATTAACGCATTTTTGCATGTATCTATGTCTGTCATGGATAGTTCTAATTTTAAAACATCAGCAACTCTTTTATTGCAATTATTCGCGCTTATTCACAACTATTCGCACTTAATCACAACTACATATTTGTGTTTTTTCACAACCATTTCAGCTCATTCACAACCAAAGGTTTTCATAACATTATTGCAATATTATAAAAAATCAAATGGAGCTTGAAATGATTTTACTAAAACCACTTGTTTCAATATATTATTATTTATTTTATATTTTCTTATTTTATTTTTATTAATATTTTCTTATTTCAGACATGTCCAAGACAACCAACTGCGCACCCCGTTAATATATTCCTGACAAAGAATGGATTTATGGTTAAAAAAGCTAATAAACCCTTTGGTGTTCCATTTTGGAATGGAATGTCATAATTAACCCTTCTATAGTAATTTAATAATTCTAGTAATATAATAAATTACTTTTATAATAAGAAACCTACCGAAATCATTTAACAGATAGTCAGAAACAAAATTGATGATACAATCCGCTAAAATACAAACATATGAAAAAAAAAACTACAAAAACAAAACAAATCGCAAATAATAACGTTTTAGCCGTACGATGAATATCAACTATCATCCACTTACACGGCAAATCATCATTCGAACTGTGGCTCGACCCTTGATGCCTCCGGTTCGACACTGCATTCGGATTCACCATCCCCATCCCCGACATATTCATATTTAGCGGGTCCATTAACCGGCCGTGTCCACTACTGGATGTCAGGTCATCTGGACTCAGATCCTCACTTGTTAATGAGACTGAACTTTGTCCACTGACGAGAACAGAATTCTGGATCTCCATTGGACTGTGCTGGATATTGGATGGGCTATGTAGGAAGGTCGTGGAGTCCACATAGCTGGCTACTAAATTGTCCACACCCATAGACGTCTCCGGTTTGATCTCTTGTTTGATGTTGATCACCCCGCTCGAGATAGAGACGGGCGATTGGATTCTTTCCTGTTCGTAGCGATCAAATTCCTGTATCCGTCGTGGTATTTCGTTGATTGCGCTCGGCCGCATTGACGTCGTGGGGGTGGTGATTGTGGTGGTTGATGTTGATCCCGATGGTCGGACGATAGTGGTTCCTTTTTGTTGCTCGTCTATAGATGGTAGATTTTGGGTTTAGTTACTTGATGTTGGGAACTTAAATCTCAGGCACTTTAGAAACTAACGAGGTTTTTGGTTTTTAAATATAGTCGAGATTTAAACGATTTGTATGCAGTAGTATCCTGAACAAATTACGAAGAGAAGACGAGGAATTATGCGCACAGCAGAAACGTCTCCATCCTGAATGGAATCGTTGGATAAATAAATCTAGATCTTTAAACAGAATATTCTTAATTCCTTACGCTAAGGAATGCCTGCTCTCTTCATACTTACATAATAAAATTTGATAAAAATATAAATATGTAACTCACCGTGGCTGATGAAATCTGGATCCAAGAATCCCCCAGTCTGTTTGGACTCGTAGGTAATGGGTGTTGTTGAGTCCACGTAGTCAGATGGCGCTTCGTACGACTGTTGCTGTTGTGTGGGGGGCTGGATACCCCCCATGTTTGATGTGAGCGCTGGACCGACGTTGTTGTAGTACGGCGACAGGGGAGAGCCGTATGCAGAATATCTGAAATACCGGTAAAGTTACCACTGCTATAGAAACTCTTATTTTCTTCGGAGTACTCCTAGTACATGCTTTAACCGACTACAAAAGGATTCCGATAATGAGTTATCAGCACCGAATGCGCATAGAATTGGTAAATAGCGTTCCTAGGAGTTATTTTAAAATATTTCAAACATTTTATGTTTTATTATTATTTTTTGTATTTATAAAACGAATACTATACGTAAATAAAAAATATCAGAATTCTGTTTCCTGTAGATCTTCTAGATATTTTCTTAAATACAAGTCCATAACTTAAAACAAGTTCCTGTAAACATTGATAGCGATTTAATGTGAGCATTTCCAGTCTTAATGTTAAATTCTAATAGCAATCGCCGCACCTGTAAGTCGCAATCACATCATCAATCATCATAAGTGATTGAAGAATCCCAACAAAAACGTCGAGAACATTCTCTCAAGCCAACAATTTACTGTTAAACCAGAAAAACGCATCATAAATCTATTAGCAGAACAGAGTGGTAAAAACAACGCTATCTATCATTTTTAATGAGAAACTGTTAGTACCGCTACTCGGTACTAGGTGGCAGTATTAAGTTTACCGTTAAGCGTCATTCAATGCTGTCACGACAATGTACCGTTGGTCGTTTACTATAATGTCAACGATGCACCGCTGACACATTTTGAAGTCCGTAAGTAATGAATTACAACGGTGATAGATGCTAGAAAGCTCGAAGCCTGTTCACTCTTCAACTTACTTTAGTGTTTTAGACACTATGTTACTAAAATATAAGTTTAAAGATCTGCGCTGGCATGGACGCTCTTTGAAAATGCAAAGAAGTAGCTACTTTAACATTTAATTTTGACAAGTTACACCTTAGACAAGTTTGTAGGTTTAGTAAGGCACAAGTAAATTAGGTTATTTGTGCCTTAAATAAACAACACATCGCTCATTATGTGTATAGCAAAAATTGCATTACTTGGTGGAGCTCATTATACATTTACTGTGAAAAAGAGTCATACTAAATTTATATCTTGTACTCCAATATACTAACTTGAAAATTTTGCTATATTGTATATTCACATTTTAATTTAATTTAGTTCTTCTATTGCAATAAAGATGGCGCAACATACCCATTGTAATGATGAAATTGATCACTCGAGCTCGGCGTTTGCTGCTGAGTATCGTATACTGAATCAGGCGCGGTATCTGCTTGCGCCCTCATTTGTGCTCGATGGTACCGAACCTCATCTTCAACTTTCTCACGCTGTTTCTTCGACATACGCCCGAATTTAACAGCTGGAAACAAAGAAACAAAAACTTTTAATTTGTGTGATCTAGTTCGCTACCTGACGCTGGGAGCGCTGCTATCGGAAAAAGTGATGACACAAATGACATAACACGGCATTCGATATTTTTTCATCGTTCCCATACCTTCTTGATATTCACACGACAGAAAAAACACGCTTCTATAATCGGTACTTACAATACAATGCAATTATATTCTCAATGACACCTAGCTTCGACGCTTAGTTACTCAATACTTTACCCACACACGATTAATGTGAAGATGTGTGCGGAACGTGTTTATGTGCATGTGTGTGTGGATAAACGGGCCTTGATTGGTTGTGTGTGTTATTGATGCGCGTGTGAGCGTCCGGGACACTTCGGCCGTTGGCACACTGCCTAGTGGAACAACGAACTCGCGAACTCTGACGTACGTATGTATTGTATAGTACGTACATGTGACGTATAAAGCGTGCTACGTAACGACGCGTCCCGCTGAGCGGCAACCCGACCAATTTGAATTACGATCAGCTCCGAACAAAACACGTAATATGAGCGGCTATTTCATTTAATCACTTGTTTTTTTTAAGAATCGAACATAAGAGTTCCATTCGTCTATGATTCTTTGTTAAAAGTTCGATGACTTATTTATCCAGTATACCTGGATCCTTCTCGTTTTATACAACCTACGAATGGAGAGCTCTTACGTTTTGGACGTTATTTTCTTTACAATTCTAGAACATTGCTTCCATAGTTTTACGTCCCAGATAAATTTTAATACGACATTTTGTAGAAACAATTAAAATTATTTACAATGCTTGTTTTGTTCACTAAAAACAAAGACGTGAAGTCTATGAACTCAATGTGTGTCAAAAATATTTATTTTAGTTCTAAATCAACATTTGACGCTCTAAAGCTCTTTAGTATACAGTTGTGTTATTGTTGTTTATAGTACTATAAAGGCATAAGTGCCACTTAGGTAATTAAAACTTAAGTTTTGTTTCTAAAGGCTTCTACTGTATTTAATGTATATTATGGAGAAAAACTGAAATATTATATACAATCGGCAACAGCAATCATTTATGTAGCGATTATATCAAACAGAAAAATGTGAAAAAAAACCCAGAATAATAAATAACAAACACACGAGTGAATTATATAACGAAAAATTGAATTCACACATAACGTGACTGAATTCGTACAAAAAATGAAACATGTAAAGAAATATGGGTCGATATGACTTGTTTAAAGAATTAGCGCATATTACATAAACACAACCACCTCGTATGTGTGCGTAAGCGGGCGTGTATATGTAATGTAAACGTGCGCGTGTGTGTGTGTCTTGTAAAAACTTGGATGTGTTTATGTCACGGTTCATGACTGCAGTTGCACAATAAGTAGAGATGTGCAGTTAGTTGATCGATTATTTATCAGACCCATTCATGCGGCGTACAACAATGTTACAGTTCTCTAACAGTCTTGTTCTTAAAAAAATCAATATCTAACATGATGAAGCCATCTTGTATTTTTTGAAATTGTATTTAAGTTTATTCTTTTACGACAGTTGTTACGACTTAGTACCCTAGTTTCGTCTTATATGAAGATCCCATGTAAATTAGTGCGCATAAAATAAAGTATTTAATTGCGTTGTATCGGGTATTGAATCCAGAACATTAACCCGGCAGTCATTCGAAACTCAGATTAGTCAAGGTTAGGATAGCTTTTATAGAATAGGTATAAGAATATCTAGTATGCATATGTTTTTATGAGTCGAGTGATGACCAAAGTTCGATTCAGTGGTCAGTTAAATAAAGCGCCCATCAGCTACGCCTATCACAATGCAATTATCGGTCACCCATCTGTATATAAACTAAAGGAAAGCATTGTTTAGTTGGACAGCACCGCGCTTTTAATTATTTTAAATTGCAGTTTCTGGCAGTGAAAGCGAAAGATGAAAATACCCTATCTTATTTGAATTTTTATCGATATTTTTTTATCGATATCTATAATGCACTAACGTCCTGACGTGTATTGTGCAACTCTTTGTCACTGCACGCGTCGATGACGACGCGCAATGCGCACGCGATTTTCGATACACGTCTTATCGCTAATTGTTTGATTTAGGGACCGGCAGAGACGATGGCAATCTGCCTTCTTTATTATTACAGATGTTACAAGATGGCATGTCTGTTTGTTTGTGACATTGTCATGCTGTAACTACGCGTCCGATTTTGATGAACATTTGCATATATGTTTTCTCATTTCACTCGTTATCAATAAAAATGTGGCGAATATCTTCTATTTTTCAAACCAGGGAGGTTGAGTACTGCGTGCTTAAAAACTAGCTAACTGATGAAACTCTTCGCAGGAGGTGTCCTGCGAAGAGTTTCATCGGTTAGCTAGTTTTTAGGTTTTCAGGGTTGTCACTCATGAGGAAATCGTTGATGCTCTTTTAAAGTGTTATCGAAGAGCTAAGATCTCGAAGACAACTTACGTCGTACGAGATGAGGTAGCGCTAAAGTTACTTTCAGGTTAATAACCCTTAAGTTACATCACCAGTTTTGCGTACGTTTATAAGTGTGGGTGACCGCTTACCATTCGGTAGGAAACATATAGTTTCTCACTTAATCCTTAGAAGTGTGTTAAACTGTTAACTGAAGTGTGAACAGTGTACGCTGAAGAACTCAGCCCCATAATTTGTTGAGTTTCTTTTACTCGACAACAGATGGCACTAATAGTATTTAAATTCAATTGTACTCAGATTTTAAGTACTAAAACTAAAGTATGTTTTAAGCTTCTTATGCTTTTACTAAGCGGTCACCAAAGTCTATGGCTCTAACTAACACAGAATTAATCAATACTTATTTATTTTTTTATTTAATTCTTCTTTTTGCACAACCAACAATTAATTGTACAATGGCGGACTTAATGCCACAGGCATTTTCTCTCAGTCTACCTTTGGGTGGTTGGGAAATGTCTGAGTAGGTGCACTAGAAATTAACTTTTATAGGTAAAGAGATAATAATAATTATGGATATGGACAGAACCAGTGTGACAGATATACATACATACTGAGATACACATACATATATGCTTGGTGAGTTACATACATATATACACAGATAATAGACTATTAGGGATGTGATGAATCTGCTAGTGTTGAGAATTCGAGCGTGAATTTCGTCTTAAACGACTCCCACTTATACAGTAGTGTTGTATTTTTGTTCATTGACTAAAGGTTTTTAAGTTATACTACGCATGTTTCTAGCGCAAGCTGCCATGAAAAATCAATATACACTAGCTTTGTGATATTTTTTGTCTAGGAATACTGATGGACATGTTTTATTATTTCTGTTATATATATGTATTATGTTTAGCTAACATTTGACTGCCTCAGTGGTGCAGTGGTAGCGTATGCGACTGCTGTGCTGAGGTCTCGGATTCGGGTTGGACCAAATGTTTGTATGATATGCAAATATTTGTTTCAGAGTTTGGGTGTTTTATATGTTTAATATGTATGTATTTGCAAAAAGAAAGGTATATAAGTATTCATTCTATCGGCTAATCTCGTTTTCAGAGTACAAGCTCTGCTTAATTTTAAACTAGATGGCGTTGTGTGTGTTAGGTGTCCGAATTATTATAAATATTATACGTCTGTGTAAAAATGAAAATAAACTTCTGTCTTCCCTTAGTAGTAATTTTTATAAAAGTTTCATCTAATAACAGAAAGAAGAAAGTTTATCCTATACAAAAAAATTCATCCCTTATTTCATACCCTGAAAGTTTTATTTTTCAAACAAAAAGGATAGTAAATCTTTGTACCAAAGCTCATCAAAATTGGTTCAGTGGTTAAGGAGTGAAATCAACAGACAGTTATTGTAACATTTGTAATATTAAGAACATATTTATATATAAGAGTCTAAGTTAACTTTAAGTTGAATCATTACTTATATAATATCCAGAGCTACAATTTCTTACTCCGCAACAATTTCAACTTAAGTTACCATTATAAACAGTGCTGATAACACAACTGATAAGAGTTCGTTGACCCCGCTTTCGCTTCCTCATTGCACGTGTTGAAGGTATAAAAATCTTTGTTACCGATTGGTAAGTAAATGAATTGTTTGAATTATATTATCACGCTTGTGATTTCCGGGGTAGACAGGAGTGTACACAATATCTAATGTAAACATAAGATAGACGTCTATACGACCTATAGAAAATACTATTATTGCTATATTGTAAAGATTTATCTTATTACTATTATGAATGAATTAGTTTCGGACAGATATTTGTTATTCGTGAAAACGGCTGAACAAATCTGGATGAAAATTAGCGCAGAGATAGATCTTAAATACCTCGTAGCCTACTATAATCTTAGAAAAATTGAACAACACGAGAGTGCCACTGGCAATAACTATAAAATCTAGATATTTTATTTAGCAATATATTCAAATTTTTAATTGTGACGTATTACACCTACGTTGTAGGCCGCTTCAAGCTCTGATAAAGGGCCCGAAACTAGTCCTGCATCATTGAAATCATCATCATCATTAACAGCCTTTAATAGTCCACTGTGTACTGTGGACTGTGTCCACCACAAGTCCGTGTGGTGACGGAAGTCCGTGTGGTGACGGATTAAGAATACGGAATGTCACCACCCCTATTCATCCCGTGGGTGTCGTAAGAGGGGACTAAGGGAGCAAACTACGCAGGACAACAGCACTGCAAAGAGAAGGAACACTTGAAACAAACCCTATATCAACCCGTCTGGCCAGCGTGGTATAGTAGGCCAAAACCTCCTTTCTAAGGAGAGGCCTATGTCCAGCAGTGGACTGTTATAGGCTGTTGATGAATAGTCCACTGCTAGACATGGGCTTCTCTTTGCAGAGAAGGTTTTGGTCTACTATACCACGCTGGCCAGAAGGGTTGGTAGGGTTTGTGTCAATTTTCCTTTTCTTTGTTGTCCCGTTGGCTTCTTTAGTCGGCTCTTACGACACCCGCAAGACGAATAGGGGTGTGACAGTCTATATTCTTAATCAGTCACCACACTCGTCAAATATGTGAGTATAATCTTATATATCTTTAATAAACGTTATAATATATATATGTCGATGTAATGTATTTAGATGAAAGCCCTTAAATTTAGTTTATATCCTAAGGTTTCTTATATCATTACTGAGAATTACCCTTCCCCCAAAAACGCACTAGTACCTCTTGAGTATCTCTGATCCTTAGCCGCCTATACTATGAACAAAAGTAAAGGTACTCACCATCACGACTCATGCCAAGTTTGAGACACTTCTGTAGCCGGCAGTATTGACACCTGTTCCTGTTCACACGGTCCACCACACACGCTTTTGTTCGGGGGCACTGGTAGTTCACCACTGAAACATATTAACGAGTTAGTACTAATTAAAATAAGAAAGAGACAGAAGAAGAAGAAAACAGCTGTTAGAAGAGAAGGAGAATAATTCTGGGGATTGTTTTGCCACTTCTATGAAATCCAATGTTTTAAGGAGTTTCTTTTGGATGATGTTGCCATAGGCGGCAGTAAATATACCTAAATATACATTTTTATGAAAATTGGCTATTATTTTTGAGGATTTAAAAAGCGAAGGATATGGGTGTTATTATTCCTTTTTGCTAACAACTTTCGAATCAAGTTATTGTAGGTACCCAAACCTTAAGTCTGGAGAGTACCGAGCCTAGGTCTAAAAGCATCGAATGTATGATTCGAAAGAATCTTATATTTGCCTTGCCACCTGTTGGTTTATGATGAATCCCCTTGGCTTACATTTTGTACAGAACGGCGTCTGATTATTTTTGAAAGATTGACTTTTATTGAAAAATAATGATAGGAGAACTATAAACTCTCTCTTGAGTCCATGACGTATCTCGTTGTGAAATCCAGAGGAATAGCGCATAGATTTCTGCTAGAGAAAGAAGCTAGAGAAAACTGTACTCTCAATAATTTTGTGACTGTTAACCAAGTAAGTGACGTTACCAAAACCTAAACCCGCCGCCCCCTCTTGAGTTGAAGGTGTCCATGGGTGGCGAAAGACTACATTTACCATCAGCTGACTCGGCTGCTCGGTTGCCTACTTGCAATATACCAAGAAAATATTATCCTAACAAATATTATAAATGAGAATGTGAATTTCTTTGTTACGCTTCCACGCCTAAACCACTAAACCGGTTTTAAATATTCTTTCACCAATGGAAAGCTTCTTTACCAGAAAGTAACGTAAGCTACTCTATACCGCGATAATGGACATACATGCGGGCGGAGCCGCGGGCAAAGGCTAGTTAGTAATAAATTAATTAGTGTCCTTTTAAAGGTTTTAAGTTTAGCAGAAGAAAACATCGTCTAGCATAATATTTGTTGTTCAATCTTCTCAACAGCTAAAATGACAGTAACGTTAATAATAATCAGAAAGAAAATAATGTATAATATATACTACATTATCTGTGTAGAATATTTTTTAAGCGGGAATCGAAGCCGGTCTCTGACAGCGCATTTGAAATTAAAACACGCACTTATGAGTCATTGAATTATTCCTATTTCAACATATTCATAAATGATAATTAATATTTATGCCTGCAAGTAAATCTTTTCAGATATTTTTATAAGTCGGACTTTACAGCTAGAAGGCGCCGGCATTTCCTAAGACTCACTCTGGGAAGAAACGCTGAAACAAACCGCAGAGATGTCTTTTTTTAAAGTCCGTGTACAATAATAAAGAGAACTATGTGACTGCAGTATAGGATCTGGGTTGGCCTTTTGAAGAATGGACCATAGTTTTGAGTTGGCCCGTGCACACATACGGCATACGGGCCCCAGCAAGCGTATAGCCTAACTGATATAATCAGGATCAACAATCCGGAACAGAACACTAACGCCAGCAGGACACTTGAGTGGGCCGTGGAAACACTCAAAACCATCAAAAAGTTACTATAATATGAACTAATATTACAAGCCTACACTATACTCACATTTACATACTTACAGAAAAATGATATTTTAAAATTCAATTACAACGAAAAAATAAACAAATTAAAAACAAACGGAATACGAATTCCAACAAAAAATTAAATTTTCATCACTTTCAAACAACAATAATGAGAGGAACGTAAATGTGGGAGTAAGCAGCATTAATCCCAATTCTATTTGTCATCCAAATAATCTGTAACCGTGTAGTAAGCATTTACACATAGTTTTTGTTTAACTAAGGACTTAAATTTGTTAATACTTAATTTATGAAATCTGCTTGGCATTTTGTTGTAGAATCGCTTTGGCAACACGAGTTTAGCTTTAATTGTAGTGTTTCTAAATTTTCATATTCATATTGAGACGCGACTCAATATGTATATGTCATAATACCAATTTCTTTTAACTTGGCCCTCACATCATCATCACATCAGCAGCCCTTAATAGTCCACTGCTGTACATAGACCTCTCCTTAGAAAGGAGGTTTTGGCCTACTATACCACACTGGTCAGAGGGGTTGGTATAGGGTTTGTGTCAAGTTTTCCTTCTCTTTGCGATGCTGTTGTCCTGCCTAGTTTGTTCCCTTAGTCAGCTCTTACTACACCCACGGGAAGAATAGGGGTGGTGACATTCCGTATTCTTAATCCGTCACCACACACTCAGTGATAAGCTTATAGGGGTTACATATGCAACAGCAGCTTGTCAAAGGTACAAGTAACTACAACCGTCAATATTGAGGGGGATTCATGACCATACCCCCGCCAATCTATCCAGCTTTCTCGGATATATTGTAACCAGCAGATCACATACCAGCTCTATCCATAACTGTGACCCCAATAGTAATAAGATCCCTCTAGAGGTTTGGCTGTGTGATGAAAGCGTATAGGCAATGCCATAAGGTTGGTCACTCAGTTTGAATAAAGGGTATCCTAACAGCTGTTCAATAGTATAATAGTGTCAAATAGCATCAAAAAAGACGCCGACCTGTGCTTTGGGAGCGTCTGAAGAATCCTTTGCACCCCTCGCACGTGATGACCCCGTAGTGCACCCCTGATGACTTGTCTCCGCACACCTTGCATGGTATTATCTCGATTTGAGCTGCAACAATAGATAAAACACCATTAATATAATTGTTCGTGATAACGTCTCTTTATGGTTAAAATGTGGAACTGATTCTTCTAGAATTCAGCTTTATATAGAGTAATGTCTCAAACACTTCTAATACACTAAGTGGTCCCATTTGTGGAACCCCCTCCCCTTTAATAATAAAATTCATAAGCTACCTATTATTTAATACAGTCCAAACAATTTTTTTAACCGACTTCAAAAGGAGGAGGTTCCGGCAAAACTCCGTCATATATAGACGGATTTGCAAAATTATTTTTTGTTTGAAACGGGTTTATTTCGAATTTTTTTTTCCCAAAAGTCCCATTTAAATTTCATATAGATCTGATGATGAGTTTCGGACAACGGCACTCTTCAAAAAATGACAGCAAAACAACCGCGATTGCTGCTAGGTTTTTAATGATCTTTATAAGTATTAACCGGTTCAACATTTTTTTTAAATGTTCTATTACAAACAAGAAAAAATGATAAAATAAAACAAATCTGTGATAAGAATTACATAAAGAGAGTATATATAGATAATAACAGTGTATGTTTATTACAGAAATCAATACGCAATTCTTTTCACACTGGCACACTTCAAAACATGTTGTGTATATTTAATGATGCCATTGTTATCTGTTGATTAAAAAGAGTGGCCGTGAGTTTGTTTGTTTACTCATGAGGCTCAACCCCTTGGAAATGGGGGGTTGTAGATCGGCACAGGCATATAAGAGATTTTCGATACGTATATATTTAGTTTGCTAAATATTTGACAAAACAGAGAAGAGAACACAAGAGACGATTTCAAATAATTTTAAAGATTTTATGAAATAAAGATATTTTAGTTTGAGTTTTCATATTGTTCACCGATGCGAGGGAGGTTAGCCCCCCCCCCCCCCCTTAGCTTCCTGCAATCCTGCAGGGGAGGGGAGGCACCGCAATAGGGAACATTGAATCTCAGGTGTCCATGGCGGTGGTCCATCTTACCTTAACCTCCTTAACTTACCATCAGGTGACAGTCTAAACCTACCATAAAAAATGCGCTGTGATACCTTTTATCTGGTTATCATTAAGTTTTACATTCCCGTTGCCAGGAATACAATAGGTACCTTTCATCCAGAAATTTAAAGCAAAGGCCATTTTTTTAATAACGAACACCTCAATATATTACAATCCAAAATTAATGTCTATTTTATAAAAACAAATACATAAGTTTAAAATTATTTTAAAATTAATTAGTCAAATCTACATTTGAATTGGATGGGTGTGGCCCAAACGCGCTTTTTATAGAAAGACACGTGTCCGCCCTACAAAAACAGTTACAATGTTACCACACCAAAAAAATAATTAAGAATCACCAATGGCATTTTTTTTATCGATACACACTATCTGTTATCAATGGTTCTTACAACACACGGTATTTTGTCAGCCATTTTCGGTTGCAGTTCACCGACCCCGGCAAGGTCGGGCCGAGGCTATTGACTTCGGGTGGCAATGTGTGCGTAGAGACTCTGTGTAATGATAGGACGAGCCCTGCGAAGCTCATGTCCTTTCTTAGGTACCTGTTAGTTTAAATAGTGATTCTATTTTTAAATCAATGATTTTTTTTCTGTGTGGTAGAAATATCTGATTAGATACGAATAGATTTAGTATTCCAAAGATAGTTTCTTTTTTCATAGTGTTGTCAATTATTGGATAAAATGGTTGAATATTAATTTTTTTAAAAGTCATGTGATAATTTACTTTACTAGTTCAACAGACATATTATTCGCTATCTTATAATTGTATAAACTTTTTTTTTTTTAAATATATTTAAATTATTATTAAAAATTAATGCTTTTTAAATAAAACTTAAAAGAAGAAGAAAAGAGGAGCCCAAAATCGATCTAAGTGGCGTGCTATGTCCAGCAGTGGACTGGACAGGCGATAGACTGATGATGATAATGAAATAAAACTCCACACTGACGTCCGTTTGGACATCAAGCACGCATATTTCCAAGGGTCTTGAAAGGCATATCACTGACCCGATTATGGATACTTTAGTGTTGGGACCACGTAATAGGGACGAACTTATTGCCGTCTACTGGATAAATGGCAGGACCGTGCTACTAAGATACAGTAATCTGCCCACCCTTTTTCTTTTCTTATTTGGGACAGTACTAGGCATGGGACAAAATCACAGTGAACTGTGAAAACCGGTGATTTATCATTTAATTTTTTCGTAAGTAGGTTAGGGTTACTACATATTTACGCGTTGTTGCCAATAAGCTGTTTTCAGACAATGCATAA